GGTGCAGTGTTGCATTGACAAGAAAAGCCACAACACAGTTACTTTACTAAACACCCTTACTGTATAGGCAGAGGCAAATATTTAAATTCTTATTGTGTGTGGAGATCCTGCCCACATGTCAGCATTAACAAGGACCTCCAGGAACAACCTCTTAAACACAGAAAAGGAATCAGATTCATTTCCCAAACTGGGTAACTGTTATTTCATTTTCATTTTGTTTATAGGCCAAGCTTCTCTCCTCCCACGGGGAAAAAGTGTCTTATGTGTACAAGTCTTTTGGGGGGAAAATCCCTTTTCAATCAAAGCAGGCTCTTATCTTGTTGAAATCCCTTCCCCACTGACTCAGGGATCCCCAGAGCAGAGGTTCTCAGCCCCAGGAGGGAGGGATCACCCGCTCATCTTTCAGCCCGTGCAGGCATCTTGGAGGTTTAGGGTCTGTCAAGCCTGGCATTCCTGTCCTCTTATCGCGCTCTACCCCTTCAAATAGGCAATTGATTAGTTTCAGCTTTTCAAACTGAGACCCGATACTTTTCTAAGGATCAAATGCAAGGAAGCAGGGAGAGAAACATGGGAGGTGGGGACATCAAGAAGGAAAACAGGACACTGGAGAAGAGACAAAGACCTTGCTGGGCCCGGAAAGAACAGGGACTTCAGGAAGATGCAGTTCGGATGAGTATTTAAGAGAGAAAAAAGAGGCTCTTGATTTATGCCCAGATTCCCCTGCAAGACTTCCTTGTGTTTAAGGGCGCGGCTCCACTTGCACATCTGTTCTCTTCACGTGACATTTCATAAAAGCCTTAACATCTGGGCAAGATAAACTTCCTCAGGTACCTGCTCAACTCTTCACCGTGGCTCTCCAGCAAGTCCCTTTCTTCTCTGCCTTAGAATAGCCACGTCCTTGCTAGTCTTTGTTCTAGCCGCCCCACTTACTCCAGCTCCCCTCCCCCGGTAAAAATCCCCCCCAAATGTCCCCTCCCAGTGCCAGCCTTTGCCAGGTCCATTTCTCCAGCACACTAAGAAGTTTCCTGCCTGGGGCGCCTCTCTGCAGGTAGGTGAGAGCAATGCCCTGAACCCAGGGGAAAAAGTCTTATTTCTATTAGGGCTACAGACTAAAAACAAAACAACAAAACCAAACCTGCCCTGTAAGCAACATTCACACACGCATTCAGTTTCGTCAGCCAGACCTGTACATAATTCTCAGTACAACCAGAAAGAGGGCCGCTGATGTTCGAGTCTTTTCGCGGAGTGGTCCCTCTATCTGGTAGACCTTTAGGCTGCACGTTTACAGAAACGTTATTTCTCTCGGTCTGCTCCCAGTCTCCCTGCCCCTGTGAAGGCTGCCTTCTGGAAGGAATGCTTTCTGCACTGTTTTTGCCTTTTCTAGTCTGAAGTTTTGTTCGCCTGGCCTCAGCCTAAATCACATGTAGCAAAACGACGATCCAGTCACCAGTTTGGGTAAGAGGGAAAAGAAGGAACAGAAAACAGCCCACGTAAACAAGAAAGAAGTCACCGAAGGCCCTCGCTGCAGCAAACCTCAAATGAGCTCCCTGCAGGGCGTCCACGAAATCCCCACTGTAATTGACTGTTTTCCTTGAGGTTTTCTGACCATGTGCTTTTTGCCATGTTGCTATGACTTTGATACAAGAAGATGCTCACATCCCGACTTTTCCAGACGTTTAACTCTCTGACCAGTATCAAGGGAGAGAAAGCAGTTTCTCGTGTCTCAGTGATTGTAACTTGCCCCCAACTTCCAGCGACCTGCCACAGGCTCCTTCTTACTTTATAGACATCTGGGAATTCCATACATGCCTCCAACTGCAATTACACACCTTCTTCAAAGGACGCGTGCTTTGATTGCTAAGAACATTAAGTGGGGTTGCGTCTTGGGCCTTGAAACAAAAGAGAGTGTAAAAAACGCACACACACGGTACCGGTTTACTAGGCCTGTCTTTTGCTGCCCACTAAATACAGAAAATTAATCCTTCTGCTTGTATTTTCGATGTTCAGTTTCCAAAGATGAGTCTGAGAAATAGTGCAGTTGTCGCTATTAAGAGTAAGAAAGAAGCCAACTTCTTCCATTGTGAGGGAGCGCTCTCCTTCCACTTTCACTGGGGCTGGGGGTGGGGCACTTATGACACATTAGCAGAAATTTCTGGAAAAGTGGCCCCTGGGGATTCCCTTCCCGACCCCCAGTTTGCCACTAATGCGGGCCTGTCTTTGGAAATTTGAGGTTGGGCCTTTGCCTGTGTCTATAGCTGCTTCGCGGTGCTACCACTGACACTTGGCTCAGCGGCCCCCTAGCAGCGGCCAGAGGCCCAACGCAGTGGGTCTGTGCCATCTAGAGAGCAGCGACATTGACACTCTCTCCACAGAACCGGACGGACTGCCACCCACGCAGGGGAAGCCTCGGTCGGTGCCCCTCTGGTGCACCCTAAGCAGGTGAGACCCTCGTTCCCTACGGAGTTCTGTTTGGGTTTCCTTGGCGTTTGTCCCCCCCCCCCCCCCCCCCCCGCAGGTTTGTTTGTTTTTCTTCAAATTACAGATGCAGGGAAAACCGCCTGACATCATGAGAGCGGGACAAATGCTCACTTTGAAGGATTCCTGGGCAGGACTTCAAGTGAAATCATATGCCTGAGAAGAACTTGATACTGGTCTAGAGAAAATAACTAGTTCTGACTTTGCCAAACCGTGGAATGTGCAAAGCGCTCTACTTTTTTGTGAGGGGCCAAGTGTCCCTTTTAAAAGGCTCCCTTATGAGTATGAGCCCCAAGACCCCAGGGGCAGGAAGTGTGTGCCAATCTTGACTGTGGGAAGAAAGGACACAGGTTCTGTGAGTTTCTATTTGAGGTTATGTTATTAATGTGTGGCACTTTAGATCTGCAACTGTGCCCTGGATTATCTGTGCATTGCTTAACGCGTACATATATGCAGGGAACCCAGAAATGTGTGCATGAATACACTTAACTGTTACTATTGAAGGCTTAGCAATTTGAGAAAGTTAAACACAAGATAAAAACAACTATCTTCACGGTAAAAACAATTCAGTTCCTCAGATGGAAGAGCATTTAATACAGTTCTTCCTCCTAGCCATAGCATTGTAGGGACAAAGACAGGAGTCCAGGAATATTACATGGTAAGATTTAGCGTCTCCGCGATAAACCACGAAACGGGTAATCTATCCAACATGTACTTTAGACAAAGGTAACGAAAAAAAACAAACACTGGAATAAAGTAAGAATAATGGGGGGCGGTGAACAAACAGGTCATTTTTATAATGAAGAATGCAGCATTTTATGTTGCAGTAGTGGGGGTGAGATTGTAGACACAACCTTGCAAGCTGGAGATTACATACTAGACAACCACCTCTACCACAACGTCGCCTCATGTAAATACAACTACTTCTGAGCTTTCCAAAAACATTTGTCTACCTTACAAAAATCCAGGAGAAAATGTTATCTTCATTTTTCTATTACTGTCAATATGACGACTACCTTTCCCCAGTTTTTTTCTTTTGTGAAATAAAAAAATAGAAATAAAGAAGGAAAAGTAAAGCAACTCTTGTCTGAAGCATCAGCTTACACATCCGGAGTTAGGGGAGCATTTACCTTCTCAGACATCACGGACGGACGGACGTCCACCCTGCTGTACGTGAAGACATCTGAAAGAAGGGGCAGACCAGGCTAGTGAACACGGAAGCTCCTTCCGGAGCATCTGGAAAATGGGCATGCTGGGGTGACCACGTAAGACTGATTTGCCATCTTGGTCTTCTCTCTGATCCTTTTAGGACACTGTCTTTACAGGTCTCCCTTACACGACACAACCCACAAACACCCCACAGAATCACCTTGCCTGTTCACTTTAAGGTAACGGGTAACCAAAAATTTTAAAACAGAATACAAATAAGAACCAGTAAGTCCCCGTGCGTGACTCAATGCTGCAGGCTCCTTATTATAAAAATATTTTAAAATATTTGCAATAATTAATGCATAAGGCTGTCCTGTCAGCATCTGGTACTGCTGCGTGACGAGGGAAAGACAATCCTGGGGGCAACAAGACAACCTCGACCTCAGTCTAAAAAATGCAGCCTGTTTGGTGAGTTATTCTGTGAACTAGGCACCAGAAACATTTCCAACTCAAAAAAACCTCTATTTACCCATGACTTGCTGAGCTGATGAAAATTGAAAAACTAAACTTTAAAAAAAAATCACTACTTTAGTCATTTAAAAAAAAAACTATGTTTTTGTCCCAGAAATATCCTGAAATAAAAGACCATCTCCATCCGTCCTACTTTCACAGAGCTTCAGGTGTGTGTGTGTGTGCATGCGTGTGCCTGTGCATGCGTGTGTGCATGTGTGCACGCGTGTACACGGTACTGACTGAAGACTGAAGAGCTGTGGACACCTAAAATCAAGACATTTACTTTACTCCACAGATGTATATTCTTTACGTATATATCAGGCGCCTGTTTCCCAGGGGGGTAACATTAATAAAGCAACCCCTTTTCCTTTTTAATCAACATGGCACTGGATATCATTCATTCCCTCAAGAGGTGAATAAATCACACATTTGAAACATAATATATGTAGTTTTCATGAACACAGTGGCCTTTGGCCGTTGTGGAAATAAGCCTTTTTAAAGGAAGGACGAAAATACATAGTAACAAGGAAATAATACTGTTTTCGCATGGCTTACTAGAATGCTTTAGTCCAGACTGTAAGCAAGGGGTACTTGGTAGCAAATCTCCTCAATTCAACCTAAGAAATGGGGAGGCAATGAGCCCCGCTGATCGCCAAGCTGCAATAATAATGGAGCTGTCCTTTAAACAGCGTGGCTGTCTCTGTCAGTAGCAGGTTTATTTGAGGTTTTCACATCTTTGTTTATATTAGTGCCCCACTCCCTCCTGGACATCCCTAGAGTTAAACAAACAAGTATTTACCACCAACTTCATTCTGAGTTTTAAAAATATAGACCAAACTTTAAAATTCTTAAAATTTTTCAATCATATTTATTTATTGCAGAAAAATAATATACAAAAGATATTTACAAAACAGTCATAAAAATATGAATGCATTTAGACACCGGATCTATTTGCATTTTACCATGGGTCATCAATAAATAAATAGAATGTTGTCTTTTGTATCTTATGTTTACCTTTTCCCTCAGAGGAAGTAATTTTTTTTTAAGGAATTCACTGGCTATGGTTTTGTAGGCCAGTTTGATCCCAGCGTTTTTATTTCTAAAGGTCTTGTTAAAATTCCTCTGATTGTTACCATTTTAAAATGGAGAAAGTCCACAGTGACGCCTTTGCTCTCAGTGGCTGAATAGTAAGACCTCTTGAGAATGCATGCATAAAAAAAATAAACATTCTTCGTCAAAAGGTGGGGTGGGGGGGGACACAAATAACGGTTCAGACTTCTATCAGAACGCGGAGGTGTGAGGGTGGTGCCGCTGCCTCTCTGGGAATCTCGGTCCACCGGGCCTGTCTGGCTTTCTCTTTTAAAAGTGTGCCCCACGCCCTGATTCTTTTGAATTTGGGTTCTGCTCTTCTAAGTTTCCAAGAAAATCTTTGTCATATAGATTTATTTTTAGTTATCCAGCTCCAGAGTTCTCTAGACTGTCCATTTTCTCCTTCTCTGGAAACAATGACATCTGCAAAAACCCAGAAGGGGAAAGTTGGTTATTGTGGATGCCTCTGAGACTGTTTTCTAAGACCGCTAAGCTTGGTTATCACTACCAGCGAGAATTTTCGCTGAACAACCTGGAAGGATTTCAGCCCAAGGGCAAGAGGAAGTGGGTGGGCGGAAAGGAGGGGGTGGAATTTGGAAACATTTGTTTTAAGAAGAAGGGAATTCTGAAGACTGAAAGAAAAGGGGGAGGGCTAGATCTGGGCACAAAGCCCTTACTCTTGACTTTCTCAAGTCTCGGTCACGCACACTCCCGCACACGCTCACCTTTCTCAGGGGTACACTCCGTCTCCCCAACCCAGACCTGTTTCCCCAGTGGGGACTGAACTACCTGCCAGAGACACGGGTTGGGGGATGGGGTGGCGGTGCCTGGCTAGGTAGAGGGCAGCGAGGAAAGTGGGGTCACCCAGAGCGGCGGCGAGGTAGCCAGGGAGCCCAGGCCTGGCCCGAGCGACCCGGGAGTGGGTCCTTACCTAGGTCTCCGCCTGCCGAGGGGGTGGGGAGCTCCGCCTGCTAGTGGGACGCAGACATGGACCAGGCCCCCTCCATCCTCCAGACCGAGAAGGCGTAGCTGAGCCGCTCGTGGGCCACATAGCTGCAGCTTGCCATCTTGGAGTCCAGCTCGTCGCTCTGCAGGACCTGGTACAGGAAGTCGATGTACCTGGCCGCCAGTTTGAGGGTCTGAATCTTGCTCAGCTTGTCCGAGGGCAGCGTGGGGATGATCTTGCGCAGCGCGGCGAACGCCTCGTTCAGCGACTGCGTGCGCTGGCGCTCCCGCACGTTGGCCATGACCCGCTGCGTCTGCAGCTCCTCGTACGACTGCGGGCTCCCGCCTCCGCTGCTGCTGCCGCCTCCACCGCCGCCCGCGCTGCCGCCGCCGCCGCCGCCACCGCCCGCAGACTTCTTGCCGCGCTTGCCCTGGGCCGGGCTGCCCGGCTCGTCGCCACCTCCGACGCCCCCGCCCGTGGCCCCACCGGGCCCCGCGCTGCCGCCCGCGCTGCGCCGGCTGCTGCGCCGCTTGCGAGCCCCGCGCTTGCCGCTCGCCGGCTGCTGCCGGTCCGGCTCCTCCTCGCTGTTGCTCAGGCTGTCGTCGGCCGGCGAGACTGGCGAGCTGGACACGTCCTGCATCATCTCGCGGGCGGCGACGTGCGGCCTCGCGGAGCCGGGAAAGGGGGAGGGGGAAGAGCAGAGGAGCGGGGCGCCTTAGCCCGCCAGCTTCCCCGCGCTCGGCGCCGGCCCGGGCGGTGCGGCCCGGAGGACGCAGGGAGGAGGGATGGGGGGGAACCTCCGCGGGGAGGGCGCTGGAGGCGGGGAGGGAGGCGGGCGGGGGAGGGGACGGTGTGGAGGGCCCCGAGGTCCAAAAAGAAGGCGCCCGACGGCCGCACGCGCGCCCTGCTCGCCCTGGCGCAGCCCGTGCCGGTGCTGGCGAGCCCGCGAGGTGTCTGGGAGTCGGGCGCGGGCTGCGGGCTTGGCGGCTCTTATACCTCCGTGCGGGCGGAAAGTTTGGGGGGCAGCGGTGTCATTGGCCTGACGTGGGGAGGAGGGACTTTTCCAAGTTTTATAGGAAAGTTTCCGCTTTCCAGCCCCCCTCCCCCGGCCCGGCCCCCCTTCCTCGGGGTCTAACAATTCGTCCTCCGAACCATTCAAAACCGACCTGGCCCGGGCGGCCAGCCTCTGCGCCCGCCTCCCTACTCACCCCACCCTCCCACCCCGCAAGCTCTCCCCCTCCGCCGTGAGGCGGCCGCGGGGTGATTTCCTTCCGCGCCCGATCGCGCCCAGCGCCCCCCGCACCGGAGCGCAGCGTGGCCAGCAGGCCCCTGTTTTGGCTGCTGCCCCCCCCCATGGGGGGGAGTGGCTGTGACAGAGGCGAGCGACTTCGACGCACTGGGTGAAGTCTCACCCCTCCCGGGATCCTTCAGAGTCTTCGGGGCCGCCCGGTTGGGGATGGCTGGGGCCCAAGTTGAGTGGCAAGAAAAGTGTCCATCTCCGAGCCTATCCAATAGTCAGGTAGAGGAAACCCCAACCCAAGTCCCCGGGGATCCATGGCTGCTGCCAGGCCCTGAAGTCCCAGGGCAGTTCTGAAGACGTGGCTACACCTCGGGGACTGTGGATCTGTGCCCTGGCCTGCCGTCTCACCCCTCCCGGAGAAACAGCTGGGCTCTCCTTTCCTGCTAAGGCGACCCAATCTAAAGTTTCCCTGCTCTCCAGAGACTGAGCCTCCGAAGGTGCTGGAAGGCGTCTGAAGTTCATTCTTCCACAGAGACAAGCATCCTCCTTAGGAAGGGAGGAAAAGCAAGGGAGGCTAGAGCAGCCTTCCTGTTGGCCCCAAGGCCCCACGCTGGAGCTCAAGGTGGAGGACCCTGTGACCATTTTATCACCGCCTCTGCCGCCGTTACTCCCAAATCAGGCCCTGAGTAGTAATGTTGGGTAGTCAGTGTATAAAATTATAAGGTGTGTGTGTGTGTGTAGGTAGGTAGGTAGGTAGGTAGTGAGAACTCGACATCATTTACAGGGCTGCCTGGTCCGAGTGCCGCATGCATCCCAGATCATCTTCCTAGCAGGTCCCGTAAGTAGTTATGCCTCAAATGCATTCTCATCCTTCAGCCATGTTTGGCGATGCAAGCATTTCCACCTAACACCGTAAAAAACCAAGAGCTCCAAAGAGGATTCTGGCAAACTGGAAGCTGAGAGGTTGATGAGCAAGAAGGGGAGCGGCTACAGGAGGGAAGCCTGCAGCCCCCCCCCCCTTTTTTTTAAAGGATGAGGGGTTAGGGGTCGGTTCACGATGATCTCTTACTACTCAAAAACGGCAATTCTGGGTCCTAAGGCAGTAAGTAGCCAGAGTTCAGGGGCAGAGTTTACAGGCTCAGAGAACAGCGCCCCGAGCTTCTGCACCACTCACTGGCTGAGGTCCTGGCCCAGGATCCCCGGGTCAATCCCCTGGGGAAATGCTAGCTCAGCAAGTGCCCCTTTCTGGATTGGACTAAAGGTCGCGGCCACCGACTTCCTGAGAAGCTGGAGGCTGGAGCCCCTGCCACGCAGGGCAGGCCACGTGGCTGCCTCCTGCTGAAGTGCTCAGCTGGGTCGCGGAAACGCTGGGGTGTGGAATGCCTGGGTCTGGTCCTAGGGCTCAGTCTTTGTAGGGAGAGCTACGTCTTTCAGAGAACAGTAAACCCTACTGTGCTTTCACCAGAGTAGAGACCTCCTGGGGTTGCCCTGCACAGCTTTTACCGACGTCCAGAGACAATGACCACAGCGTGCCAACTGGACTGCCCCACCCGCCCGCTTCTGCCATATTTTAAGATGACAGCCTGGCTAAAAACCAGAATCTACTTGACCTCCACTTAATTTTAATAGCTCGTAGCCAATTATTCTCAAAATAAAGCCACTCCTGTACCCTCGTATTTGCATCTTTCACCGACGAGCATATCCCTTGGAAACAAAGCATGGCAGAAATTCTGCTCTTACTCTACGGAGCACTCTGCTTTGTAAATACGAATTGCAGAGTGTTCCGCAATTATCTTTAGAAGGTCGCTGCGGAACTCTAGAGAATTTTCCAGTTTTCAGCTATCTCAATTTTCCTTTTATTAATATCAATCTCATTTTTTTCCTTTAGTTGATCATTAAAAATAACTCAAAGAGAACAAAGGATAGGAGCATTTCTTCCTTTGGGGACACGACCAGGGAAGATGAGGGGGCGAAATGGGGGGGGGGAGGTGTACTTCAGAGAGGGGCACTATTGAGAGAGGGCAAGGGTTGAACCAAGTGAGGAAAAACAGTTCGCCTTCCCGCCTAGCCCGAGTCATTAGCAAGTGCGTGTTTCTCAAGGATTCTAGTCAGCAAGCCAGCCCTGGTATTCCTCTGTGTTCCCCCGACCCCCCCTACACACACACACACACACACACACACACACACACACACACACACACACACACCGGGTTTAGGCTAAGCTTTTGAAGTCACCTAGCTTAGAAGAGCATTGGAAATGAACGACCTAAACAGAGCCATCTCCGTCCTATGATCTTTTGAACAGGGTCACCAGGAATCACTTTAGTTCTGAATAGAAATTCCTTTTGAACTCGTTCTGAGGTGTGGAGGATGGAAGTACTTGTTAAGTACTGGGATTTATATTTTGAGCAAAAGGTGGGACCTTTCCAGGTGAACCAATGCAGCAATAGCTAGGACTTGGTGACCAGTGCACAGTGGTTGATGGGCTGAGGTAGGCTCCCTTGTCCGCTACGTCCAACTCATTGTCAGGGCTTATTTAAGGACCTTCTCTTCTGTCTTTGCTGGGTACAGCTGAGTCCTTCTCTATTTGCCTGCAAGTCTGATACAATTCTGGATATCTCATGGGTACGAGAGTGATTGTGATTTGCACAGTGTTTCAAATTAACATCAGGGAGTTAGTTCCCTTTATTTCCAATCCCCGAATGTGGTCTTCTAAGTGAAACTTAATTTTACATCTTCCCCTTTAAGGCTTCTGTCAAAGTGATGTCAGCTGGGGACCGGGGAATGATGGGTTATTTAGGATCTAACTCACTTTGTCTACTTCAGAAACAGGAAAGATTCCCCCCCTCAAAAAACCAAAACAAAACAAAAGCAGTTCACTGAAAACAACAAAGGCCCTTTGCACTTGGAGAATTCACAAGGAGCTTTGCTCTCAGCCTGCAAACTTGGCATGTTTGCAATTCTTCCTGAGCAGTGCTTATAAAAAGAAAAAATGAGAAAAAGACAGACATCTCATGCCGGGCACAAACAGCATCTCTGTAATTTTCCTTATACTTCCATTGTACACTGACATTTTCTTAGCAGTCAGTTACAGATACTCTGGGGTAAGGAAAAGAAACACTGTAAAATTGTTAGCAAGCTGGTAGACTTTAGTGCTGGGTTTATACAAAAGCTGTATACTCCACGGTGACTCTCCAGGGTCTCTCCTCAGTCTACAGATGACAAGTCACTGTGTCTTTGAATGCCTCAGGTGAAGCACAGGGACCCACCTGCAGAAGGGGGCACATACTGAAAAACTACGGCTGAATAGGTCTTGGGCCATGCATCTTAGATTTCATCTAATTTTGGACATTCTGCAGGAATTTCCCAGTTTGATATTTCAGAGAGAGAATTCCATTGCAGTGTAATGTAAACTCTACATCAGCACCAGTGACTTCAATCACTCCTGCCTTGCAGAGAGCCTTGGTGATGTTTGAGCATCTTTGTCCCACTGGTGATATTCTAACTCATGACTCTAACTGATCCTACTTTCATCTTTCTGAATTTTTTTAATAATATGAAACTAAAGTTATACAATTTGAAAGTTCCGACCGAGAAATAAGGAGGAAAAATTAAAAAGCAAAAGAAACCGAAGGACCCCACAAAGGAGCAAATAAAAGTGGCATCCCTGTTAATCATTAGAATATCTGACTTTCTGCATTCAAGATGAGCATGGGATTAAGACTTGTATATCCTGGAAAGAGCCAGGCGAAGTGTAGCATAGAGTCCTACGTTTTCCCCTTGGCTTTATTTTATTCTTCTGCTGCTTATGGTTAAGTCCAGCTGGGAGAGTTGGTATCACATCTCACTGCTGGTTGACCCATTGAAATACACACTCCTCCTTAACTCCCTGGTTATGTTCAAGTTGCTCTGAAAACTGAAGGGAAAAAACCCTAAGAAATACAAACTCCTCGGGACATTTTACTATGATCCCAGTCCTGCTATTGTAATATCTTATCTTCAGCCGTTAGATGCTCAGCAATTTAAGTAAACATTGGACAATTTATACTGCTTTTCCAGCTCAGATTTCCCCTTCTGGTTATCCTAACTCTTTTCACTGGGAGTCTCCCTGCCCCGCCCCAACAGATGGCTTTTCCTGAACTCTGAAACCCCATTCACGTTATTTGATTTGGTTCTTCCTGAGGAAAACATGCTGTTTTTGCCAATGACCACAAGAGGACACAATTTCCTAGGTACTATGACTAAAAAGAAGTTTGCAGAAGAGTAGCAACAGAGCAAACATAGCTATTAATCAATGTCCTTTTCAAGATGTCTAGTTAGTCTGTGCCACTTTCATTAATTTTTAAAAGCATAAAAATAAGTCAGTCTTTAGGCTTTTTATTTATTTACTGCCTTTAGGCTTTTTATTTATTTATTTACTGCCTATTGTGAAACTCGGAGGAAACTACACAGTTATGGCAAACGTGAAAATATTAGTATTGTTAAAGAAAAATGTTTGTATTTGACAGATTTGTGCAAAATTCTTGATCACCTTTATTT